CTTGTTGACCTACCTGCATCAGGGTCCACACGTTGAAGGTCCCCAGATTCAGTGATTGATGAAGCTTTAGAATCTGCGATTTGTTTTGAGACACATTACTTACAGTGCTATTAGGCAACGACCTTTGGTGAGCGACATCCCAGTTTCTTGAGGGACTATTACAGGTCGGAAGAAGGGGAAAATTGAAAAGGCTGAGTACCGAAGACAAAGAATTAAACAAAGGTTGGGATATCTGAGCATTAGCCGACTTATCACTACCAACCCCGCTCGATGCAATAGGCAGCGTGGTCCTGATTATCCTGCTCGACGGCCGATGCAGTGTGAAATTATTTTTATTTTTTGTATGCATTGGGGTTTGATGGACGGGTACTGCTAGGGTATTCAGCCACTAAACAGGAGGGCGATTAGGGTTCTCATACAAAGCCTTTAGTTCTAACAAGAACCTAACCGCAAGGCAGCGGGTGAAGCGAAGTGGAGGCCCATTTACTTGGATTGATTATTCCTCCACCATTTTTCACCGACTGAAACGCAAGTTACATTCGAACCCCCAACCTGGAGGACCAAGAGACTGGACTTCGTCTGACCTCTACCCATTGACCTTCCAGGGATGATTAGATCTGCTGGCTTGACAAAAGCCATCCTGTATAACTCGTTGGGTCACAGAGGTGCACAAGCCATCACACCACGTCCAGTTGCAGTCTCGTCGTGACACGTTGGTTGAGGAAGATTTAAACGATGCACCTGTGNCCCCCCCCCCCCCCCCCGTCTCTCTTACACACACACAAGAGGTTTGAGGATTATTCTACCCAAATTTTTATTATCAAAAGCATTCCATTGAATGATACTGAAAAACTTGGTTGACGCTTGACGCTTTTAACGACCGTATGAAAGATTATTCATAGTTCCTTTACGGAATGAGATTCAATTTGCAAATACTCATCAGTTAACAGGAAGCATTTTAATCTGTACCTGAATGTAAATTCTATTATCAATTTTGAATGGCGTGAACAGTTAGCTCGGCAAAAGGTTGAAGGATTTTACTGTGTTTAAGGGTGTCATTGCAGGCTAATATTTCAAACCAACTTGACGCCAGAATAGCCTTATGGCATTTACCAAAAAAGGAGAATGCTCCAAGAAGTCTGTTGCTTTAAGTATCTTCCGGCTTCATCATCGATCAAACAAAGCTACAGAGCTCACCACACAAACTTTGATGAGGCTCGGGTGTGTTCTTTGCACTGGTACTCCCATAGCAGATATGTGTCCATTGGTCTCGTTTAGTATGGGTAAACCACAGTTTGCGGTCACAGAACTGCTCAGTAGCATTTGGAGGGGGGGCATGAAATTATTGCTTGTATTGTATGCCACACACGTCTGAGGTCAGTCTGTGTGACAAACAAATCACGGTACAATAATCTTTACGAAAAGAAAAACGCTCCGTTATTTACTTGTGGGCGGAATATTGCCAGTTTGCCCAGGCCAGTGTAGTTGAAATTTCTTGGGGATTTTGAAGCCGGAGCAGGAGTATGACCCGCTAGGCAGTGGGGCGATGTCGGAAAACCGCAATCCATTGGGAAGCCGATGTCCAGTTCATCGAATCATACGCTAGTGACCACTGCCTCAACCAGGGATATGTGGATGGGCGTGGTTCGTACGCCTCCTGTTGGTGGGCTTCGAATCGCGGTTTTTAGCCAAATCCCCTAGGTGAACTTCCAGTGGTTCATCGACCTAGGTATATTCCATGATGTTGGCTCTTTGTGCTCTCACTAATAGAATTCATAGTGTTTCATCGAGACAAATAGTTTTTTGTACGTGTAGGCTTTTAGGTTGAATCGAAATTGAATTATCTTTAAACGTAGGTTGGTATTAAGCAAAAAGTGAATTAAATTTGAAACTTATTATGAATTTCATTTCTTCAAAATAGAAAAAAATTGCATTGTGGTTAACAAATAACACAATGACCATGCATGCAGTGTGCAGAGATAGATAGAATGGTGCGGGTATCTCTCGTCTTTCTAAAGTTAAAAGTGTATGTTCAGCAGGTATTTGGAGACAAGGAATGATATTTTAGCAACCCGACAGAAAAATGGTGTTGATTTTCCTTGTTAATTAAGTCACGTTTCTTATGGAGGTCTGTGTGCGCAGTTTGAACGCACGGTCCAATTGCTGATCACATGCATTTTCTTCATAAATTCTTATTCTCAATTCAGAAACAGTTCCTCTCATCGCACTTGTCCACATTCAGCTTTTGCACCGTTAGTTAGGTTCTCGCAACAAACAACGAAGTACATTTTATGGTATTTTGTTTTACAGTGATGTCGCAAGGTGTTATTGCCTGTCATTCCCCACATTGGCTCTCATTAGCCCGATTGCCATGTTCAATTATAAAGTCTTGTGATATAGATAAAGTAAATATATAATTTGGTTTTCGCACTCAGATAGATCGATTGGCTGCTTGAATAAAGATAGTTTCCAAAAGACATCGAGCTACATCAAATAATTACAGCGGAGTTATTTTCGGTATGGTGAATAATGATTTCAGATTATCCAATCATTGTTACAAGAGTTAATACGATAGAGTAAATGACTGAACCAGGAGAAACCAAGATCACATGTGTTATTTGCCCATTCAAGGTTTCTGTGTAAACTCAACAAGGAAATTCAAATATGTCCACATCAATACAGTTTGCAACAGCTGGAATCCTGACATTGCAGTTCTATGACGAGTTTACTAAACTAATATTACCATAACGCACTGAAGTCACCATACATGGACTGATGCACACACCAGTACACATACACACACACATACACACATCAAACCAATAATATATTTACTCCAAATCAAGAAGCAGGCTTTTTAATTGCCTAGCAAAAAATTGAATGGGAGAATGATGCAGAATTTCCAGTGAGGATAAATTTCCAAAACGAATCTTGATACTTGACTTTACTTTTATCCGAAATCATTACAAAACACCCCTGAGTTATTTATCAGGTTTCCCACTTGTTTCTTTTTCTGGGAAATAATCTAACTGACGTTGACGGTGTATGCCCCTCCTGTATTGACACTGAAGACCATATTTGCTCACTTGCGACCTTTTTTTAAAAAAGTAATTGTTTTCTGCCATAATGACTCATGATTATTCATTTCTGGCCTCTAAGTGAAAATTTGATTTGCCGTTTTTGTTTTAATTTGTGACCGTGACATCGTGACGGCCCGTTCCAACCTACACAAAATTTTGGACCAGATAGAAGGCTTGGTATGTGTTGAATATTTGCAGGATCGAGGACTCCTACCAATAGAGGGGTTGTGTGTGCGGACATCTAAAGCGTGTGCAAGAGTACGGCCGGAGCAGGGATGGCTGTATTTAACGTTGCTGCAAGTGCAAGAGACATACCTCCATTTTCTCTGGAACACTTTTCGCAAAGTCGAATTCGCCTCTTGATACATTAATGGAAATCATTGTTTAATTCGTTATGGAGGAATCAGTGACTTGTGCTGCAGTCGTGGCTAACGTTA